AGCAGGCAACTGGAGCTCCCACTGACCACAAAGAAAGCTCAGAATGCTTTAGAATCAGACCAAAACTTGAACAAGGCCTGCTCCCTCAAGACTGTGGGGCAATACTTCCCTCAAAAGTTTAAGGAATTGAAGGTGGCCTATGTGTGCAGGGGAGCCAACAGCCTGCAGGGCCCCCTGAGCAAGGTGTGCGGGGGGCCAGCTCTGTGCTTGTGGAAGGGGAAGGGCCAGGAGCAGCCAGCCCTCTGTGCCACTTGGAGCGTGGCATGTCCCCCTCCAGCCCTCAGAGCTGCACAGAGTACATGGCATGGTGCTCCAGTGGTGATTTTAAAGGACTTGGGGCTCTAGCCACCATCACTCCTGCAGCAGCAGCAGTGGCAGCTGGGAACCTCAAGCCCCTTTGAATCACTGGGCTCTGGAGCAACTAGCCCTTTATCCCCCTTGCCAGGGGACCTGTGTGTGTGTGTGTGTGTGTATGTGGCTGAAACAGTGCAAAAGATTCCAGGACATAGTGTCATGGTGTGGAAAAGGGTGTGAGTCACGGGTGAGAAAAGGTGGGGACATCTCAAGGGACATGATTAAGAGGGAAGGAAATAAAAATCGGGTTTTGGAGAAAGTAGTATCTTGTAGATGAAACTCAGCCCTGTACAAAGGACCCGCCCAAGGACCAGGCTCCATATGTAGAGATGTGGAGTGATACTTAATTGTGTATGGACCTTGGGCTGGAGCTCTGCACAGAGGTGAATTAAACTTTCCTGTTTTACTAAAACCTTAAGGCTTGAATCTCCACCCTACACTGGGAACACACATGTGATTTGTAGTTTGCACTTCAGTGCATCCAAGGACAGCTCCATTAGGAGCTGGGAGTTCACCCTGGAAGACATCGTTACAAGGCTGGTACTGCAACACACCCTCAAGTACACTTTCCTCCACTGGGGGCCTTCTGCCAAAAATCCACTGGTGGAATCTGGTCCTTGAGATTATCAAAGCTACCAAGGGGCTAGAGTTGTTCAATTCCCATTAATTTCCCAAAAGCCTCATCTGGCTTTGAAAATCTTGGCCTAAGCTAGCAGGATATTTGAAACATCTTCCATTCACACCGTTAGTTTAATTTTGCACTTGACTTTTCTAGGACAGCAAACCCTGACAAGTTGGGGCACTGTAATATACAGTGCATGACACTAACCTGCCTCATGGTTCTCATTAATATTTGTATTTCAGAGGCAACCAAAGGCCTCAATCAGGGATTTAGGCTTCTTTGTGGGAGTTGCTATGCAAACATTCAGTAAAAGACCATCTCTGCCCCTCCAAGTTTATAATCTCTGTTAAGATAGGATATAAAAAGTGGATGAAACAGAAGTACGTGCTGGACCTGGGGAAGGATGAGGTAACAATAATGCAGCCATGGTTTTGTGTAGTTTAGCAATAAAGGCAATGGGCTGGCCAGCAGCGTCATTATCACACATTTCTGTAACTGATTTAACAAAACCTTGTAAAGAACATTGAGGTCCTCAGGTGATGGGTGCTATAGCAGTGCCAGATATTAAGTATATGACTATGTAAGCTTCCAAACATCATTTGCATTACTTCACTGAGCCATGTATAACATTGGAAATCTTCTCATTAGCATTTAAAATAATCACTGAGGAATATAAATGAGGCTACAGGAGTACATTGATACAGCATGCACATTCATATAATTTTAACAGGGCTTGTAGTGATACCATTTTGCGCTATAATAGACACAAGAAAGTCAGAAATATATTGTTTCAGTGGTGGAATGTGGCTTTAGTGTTTGGGTGTGACTTTTTTTCCTTTTAGGGAGATTGCAATGTTCCTCTTTAAATACTTTCTTTCACTTTGTGGAACCCCAGGGTGCCACAGAGCACCATTTGGACAAAAACTGCCCTAGTTTATTGATTAGTAAGGCATTTGACACAGTCTCGCATTTGGCAGACCTTCTTAAATCTAGGTATACCACATCCACGGGTTGTTTTTTACCCCTTTTCACCCTTGTTTTTTACCCCTTTTAATCTAACCCAGAGACTCTCAACAAGTCTGTCTTCTATGTTCATCTCCACCTGAGTCCAAATGTATTCATTTTTAATATATAAGACAACACCTCCTCGCTTTTTTTCCCTGCCTATCCTTCCTGGGCAAGCTGTAGCCTAATTGGCAGACGGACAGGCTCTTAAGTCTAGCGCCTTACACCACCTGGCCACCCTGACAGTTTGTCCATCTTGGTTTTTAAAAGCATCCTTTGACAGGGGTTTCACAACATCCCTTTGAAGCCTTTTGCAGAGCTTACCTAGCCTTCTAGTTAGAAAGTTTTTTCCTATCAGCTCCTAAATCTCCCTTGTTGCAATTAAGCCCCATTAATACTTGTTTTATCTTCAGTGGACATGATAGACAATTGATCATTGTCCTTTTATAACGTCGCTTAATATGTTATCAGGTCTTCCCACAATCTTCTTTTCTGAAGACTAACTATACCCAGTCTCTTTCAAACTTTCCTCACAGGTCAGGTTTTCTAGAACGCTTAATATTTTTGCTGCTCCCCTCAAGACTGTCTCAAAATTGTCCAAATCTTTCCTGAACTGTGATTCCCAGTATTGGCTGGGAGTACTGTGGTAAGTGGGCAAGGTGGTTATTGTGAAAAAAAATTTTTTTTAAGATCAGCAAATAAATAACACTAGCTCTTAGGCCCAAAAGGTCACTTCTGAGTAGACTACTATGGCCAGACACATTTCAAAGAGACCATGAGCAAACACAGTAAATGCATTTTTGAATTCCAGCGGTAAGCTGAGACTTACAATGTTTGTATTATAAATAGTATTTTCAATAACCACAAAAGAAAAGTATTTGTGGGTTATAAAACTTATTTTTCCCTCAACAGAAGACCAAAAAATCTGCTAATGTGACCACAAACTGTGTTGAAGAACTATAAATCCTAGTCAGAAGAATTGATTTGCGCTTTTACTATAACATTTCCATCTTATATAACAAGTGAAATTCAAAGTTCTCAGAGCCGTTCAGAAATCTACCTGAAACCACATAGGAGCCTGTGAGATATTGCCATACGTAACTTGGAGATCAGGAAACAGTCGTCATGAGTGGTGGGGCCAATGCAAAATTATTGTTATGCATGGTAAGACTCCCATTGATTTCAATGGGTGTTCAGTCAAGCCTTGTACATGATTGCATAACAAGTCACTTGTCAGGAGTTCTGACTCCCTTTTCCCCGCTACTCTAGACATCAGAACCCTCTTCTCACTACATCTTATATCTGCAATCAATGGTATCTGTTACAGATAAATTGTACTAGAATCTTCCCTTTTATACAGTATCCATTACTGTATATATCAGTAGATTTTTAAGGCCAAAAGAGGCAATTACAATCCTCAAAATTGACATCCTGCAGAGCATAGGCCATGGAATTTCATGTATAGCAAGCCCATAGCTTGTGATTGAGCTAGGCTACGTCTACATTGGCATGATCTTGCACAAATATTCTTTAACGCAAGAGTTCTTGCGTTAAAGTATTTGCGCAAGAGAGCGTCTACACTGGTATGTACCTTTGTCAGCCGACGGTCAGGGCAGTGTGTGTGTGTATGTTTCCGAGAAAAGGTTTAACGTCCGTGTCTTTACTGCTAGGACCGGGGTCCCATCGCAGAGGGTGGCCAGCAGGCCAACAGACGCCCCGAGTTTATAGGAAGAGCTTATTACGCTTCAGATTTTAGCTGCTAGAATTTCATAATTCCTTCGCAGCGGGCAGCCTCGGGGAGACTGAGAAGCGCCCCAACTGAATTTTGCCACCTGGGTGTGACACAAATCCAAACGCCCAAGCTCTCCCTATATCTGTCCCTTTATGACCGGCTGAAGTTCTTTTAAATTGTGCTTGGTTCTGTTACAGCAACTGAAGAAGTCAGGTTAAAGCTTAAACAGTTACAGGTTTATTGAGGAAGCTTATAAATCATATGGTTACAATGGCTATTGCTCTATTTCTTAACTATTAGCAAAATATAGGTCTTAAAAATGGTTACAAAGAAGATAAAGATAGAAAAATAGAAATAATGGTACCAAGTAACAGCTTACTCTTTCTATGTGTACACTTAAGACAGAGGACCACATCCAGGTACCATTTTTACCCCCTTCTGTGCCTCTCGACTCCAGCATGTCGGCCAGGGCCGGTCTCTCAATTCCTAGGAAAGACGAAAATACGAGGTGGGCGTCCCCATAGAACCTCGGGAGGTCAAACACCTAACCCGACCAGCAGGTAGAGGGTAGAATGACACTCAAAGTGAGTGTGTGCTGGGCCCATCTTTTATAATCATGAGGTCACGTATTTCTCTTTCTTATCTGTAATGCCAATTGATGCTGGTCTGTCTGCTGTGAGACCAGTTCTTACAAGGGAGTTGTGAACTTAATTTACACTTGTAAGAGAGATTTGAGGTGATTAAATTTTGAAGTACTGGACATTGTTTTCTCAGTGGGAAATTCCTCTTCCTGGGACTGTGTGTGTTCGAATCAACATAGGTGCCAGCCGCAGCCTCGAGGCCGGCTTATTGACTTAGCTGCTCTCTATCCACATATCTGTGTTTCAGCTTCTCAGGATCAGATGAGCCAGCATAGACTATGCTGATATTATTGCTCCTTCTCTGCCCTGTGCTTCAGAGAGGCAAATAAGATGGATGATATGGGGTTATAGTCTGTCTGGCCACAACCTTTGCTCAAGAGATGTGCTTTTGCACAAGAGCATCTGTGCCAGAGTAGACGTTCTCTTGTGCAAGAAAGCTCGCATGGCCATTTAAGCCATCGGGCTTTCTTGCTTAAGAAATTCATGTTGCCTGTCTACACTGGTCTCTTGCACAAGAACAGTTGCGCAAGAAGGCTTATTCCTGAGCAGGGGCATCTTAGTTCTTGTGCAAGAAGCCCTGATTTCACACATTAGAAGGTCAGTGTTCTTGCGCAAGAACTCCCCACCAGTGTAGACAGGCAGCATGTTTTTGTGCAAAAGCGGCCGCTTTGGCGCAAGATCGTGCCAATGTAGATGCAGCCCTAGAGTATATCTTCTAGAAAGAGATGGCCACTCCTGATTTAAAGACTTCAAGTGATAAAAAATCTGCCACATCCCAAGGTAAATTGTTCCAATCATTAATTAACCTCCATGTTTAAAAACTTATATTTTAATCCTAGTTTCAGTTTGTCTAGCTTTAGCTTCCAACGGTTGGCTCTGTGATATCTGAATGCTTCGCAATCAGAACAAATGCAAGGATTAGTCCATCAGGTCGTCCTCCTCCCCAGAATGTGCCATACTGTATTGTATATTATTAATGTGTATGCGTCTTAGCTTTAGGCCTTCTGCTGTGGCAGAGAGAGGCTAAAGAACTGGATTTTTTTTATTTTTTTTTCCTGAAAGTGAGACCCAGCAGGGAGGGAGTTTCATAGCCCATGGCCAGTTTCTGGAAAAAGCTCTGTCCCCCTTGTATGAGACTGATGCTTCTGAAGTGAAACTTAGCTCCTGAAGGAACTTTCAGAGGTGATATGTGGGGCATTCAGAAACTATAGCAGTGAGCACCATAGGAACACCAACCAAGGTAAACAGAAAAGTGATTGCTGTCACTTTATCATAACTATAACGCAATTCATTTCTTTGCATGATGATGATGAATTTTCTTTACCAATGACAGGTGTACCTGTGATTTCTCTGAGCCATGCTGATCAAAAGATAAGAGTTACAAAACCAGTACCAGTCACTGCAGCACTTCTCATTATACTGGAAAACCACTTATGCAGAAATGGGATGTGTTTTATTTACATGAAACCACTACAAACAATCCTGGGCTGCAACTCTGAATAGGTAGTACAGTTGGTGCTCAAGGATCAAGCAACACTATAACAACCAGCACAGACACAGTAACTGGTAACATGCCCAGACGGAGCAAAGGCAGGGAA